CACATACCACCATCCTGTTTAAACACTTCTTCTTCGTCAACATCAGAAGGAGAATATGAAGAGCCTTTAAGCCAATCAATTTGCGCCTTAACATTTTACCTCGATCTGATGTCCACATGGGGATACAAGGTGTTAACAGAAAGTAAAGGAACTTAAACATCAACAAGCTGCTTATTCACTCCGATTCCCACAGAGGAAACTGACACAACCAGATCAGTCGGCGTTACAAAAGATGCAACAAAAGGATCCAACTAACTAGAATCAATGTTCACCACCCCCATATTCACATCACAATGTTCATTATCACCCACATTCATCAACTTATTACCAAAATTTTCTTGAGCCACATAAAAGTTATTTGAAGAAGGGTTAACTACCACAACACCATGAGTTGAAAGTGTGAGATGCACGAAGATGAAATGGGGGGGGGGGGGATAAATTGGATATAAAAAATCTTCTTTAACGAAAAGAATTTTTTTTTATTACTTGATGCAGAAGTGAATTACATTCACAATAAAAAAGTTAAATTATCAATTTCAACAATCGCAACAAAAATAAATGCAGAAATAAAGTGTGAAAATAATAAAGAAAAGAACACATCAGATTTATAGTGGTTCGGTCAAACCTTGACCTACGTCCACACCCTGGAGACACCCTTCGAGTATTGCACTAAACCTTTAGTGACTCTTCTTTAGCTCCCACAGCTAGGCGGAGAAGCCATTATAAAATCACTTTCAACTTCCTCTGTGCGGCAGAGGAGCCAGGTTTTTTAACACCAAAGAAATATTCTTCTTCCCAAAAATTCCCTCAAGACGAATCTTGAATTCGATGGTACTAAGGTGCAAGCTTTCAAGAGCAATAGTGTGAAATCCCCTCCACACTCCTTTGAAACCCCCTTCAAGGATCTTCTCCCACTCAAACTCTATTCTTTCCTCTCTCTCCTTTTCAAGTCATCTCTTCAAATTTTCTCCATAATATCAAATACACAATGTTTGCCAAAGACTCTTATAAAGTCTTACGAGAAAACTTAAACAGAAAGCTTAAAAAAATCATAAAAAATCAATTCATCCGTCAAAGATCATACAGTACGATCTCAAGATTGTCTCATATGATGTACAAAATTTGACCTATTAGTATTACATGATCACCAGTTAGTATTGTACGAATAGTTCAATTTGTATGTTCATGCTATACGATATCCAATTAGTACTATTCAAACAGTTCAATCGACATGCAGTCATCCAAGACAAAATATGGGACAACCAAAATTGTCTATATTGATCGTACAGTGCGATCCAATTCATACAGTACGATCAAAATATCTAAATTAAGCAGATTCAATTGACTAATCATAGAATTAAATTAAGCAATATTTTCAACATCGTACAGTACGATTAAAACAGCTTTTTCAAATTAATTTTTTTGCTTAAGTTAATGCACGGCAGGCTTTCTAAATATAACAGATCGTCTAGTATGATGTGGTGTTTATACTGTACGATTAGTTATATTTCAAAAATATTTTTTCAAGGAAAATAAAATATTTTAATTAATTTCTATGACACCAGATTATACAATACAATCCATATCGTATAGTACGATGTACAGAAAAATTAAAATATTTAAAATCATTTTTGCTCCCAATGTGTGTGTGCTGGATTACTAAGCTAACAAACATAATTGTAGGACTTGACTCAAGAAACTAAAAAATAAATAAACGAAAATGGCATACTCATTTAATATAACATATTCTACCCAACTTGAGCCATGAATCTTTAAGGAATAGTGCATGATGTACCTGAAATATTAATCAACACACAAACAAATATTCATTACAAATATTATGAGAAATAAAAAAGTAATCAAAATTATTTGATATCATCAAAATTATAAACTCGAAAGCCCGAGTTGCAACAATCTCCTTCTTTTTTATGATGACAAATAATATTGGTTAAACTTACAAACTAAAAATATTTTCTCCTAAACTCCCCCTTACTAAAAGTATTACATTAAAAATAGGGAAAAATATTTTTTTAAAGCTAAATAACATGAAAAAAAAAAAAAAACAAAAATACAACCAACAACTATACATTCTCCCCTTTTGATATTATCAAAAAGAGAAAATAATACAAAAAAATAAAATACATGTAAAAAATAACAACATAATAAAGAAACAAAAACATAAAATTATATTTAAAATATAATAAAAATTAAACACACAAAATAAATAAACAAACATAAAAAACACATAAACAAAACACACAAGCAAACCTTAGCATATTTATACCTCATCATCCTGCTTATGTTATAATGATTCAGAAGCTATTTTGATTGAACTGTTCGTACAGTACTAACTGGATATCGTACAGTACAAGCAGACAAATTAAAATGCAGTTTCTCTAGGACGAAATATAAGACGACCAAAATCATCAATGTTGATCATACAATGCGATCCAGTTCGTACAGTATGATTAAAATATCAAAATTAGGCATATTCGATTGACTAATCGTATGATTAAATTAGGCAATATTTTAAATAACTTACAATACGATCAAGTTCATACAATACGATTAGAACAACTTTTCAAATTTAAAATTTTGGGATTTCTAATTATAACAGATCATCCAATACAATATAGTGTTCGTACTATACGATTAATTATATTTCAAAAATATTTTTTTTCAAGAAAAAATATTTTAATTAATTTATGTATCACTAGATCGTACAGTATGATCCATATCGTACAATACGACATACAGAAAAATAAAATATTTAAAATCATTTTTGCTCCCCCGGTGTGTGTGCACGATCACCAAGCTAACATACATCATTAGAGGACTCGACTCAAGAAATGAAAAATAAATAAAAGAAAATTACAAACTCATTTAATATAACATATTATACCCAATCTTGAGTCCTGAATCATTAAAGAACAATGCATGGTATACTTGAAATATTAGTTAACACACAAACAAATATATACTACAAATATTATGAAAAAATAAAAAAGTAATCAATATTATTTGTTATCATCAAAATCATAAACTCGAAAGCCTGAGTTGCAACATGAGACACATTAGACTCATGCGGGGATACATCAGGCCTATCAGCCAGAGGTACGACCTCCACTATAAAATCATTAAGAGCCAAATCATTGCAAAGAACCCCAATCTCAACTGACGAATCCTAAGTACCCAAAGAAACCTCAGGACTCAAAGGAATATATTTATAAACCACAACATCATCCTCACCACCGCCATCATTAGAATTAGGGGCCAGAGTAAATCGATCTAAAACCAAACCAAATTTCCACCCTCTCCATTGTTAGACGACAAAGCCATAGGCGAGTTAATACTGGACGGAACAATGCCCCCCACAGTAATCCCACCAGCATTTTCACTAATCACCACAGCCTTAATAGGTGAAATAGGCATTAGAGAACCGACCATATCCAAATTTTCCAATGAACTAGTACCATTCTTATTAGGAAAAATATTAACATTCACATAAATTGAAACATCAAAACTATTTAAATCCTTCGCAATACTCGTATCCTTCGGAGTAAAACCAGAAGCCTTTCCAACAATCGTAAGTTACTTAGAAATAGGGCGAGAGGATTTATTATAATCCCCCTAGCATGCCCAATACAATTACAGCTATCACAAAAAGGAGGAAATTCCTCCATATCAATAAGCTGAATATACCCATAAAAGTATGAGTCAAACTTTGTTCGGATATTTTTTTGTAATGTCAAGCTCTACCAAAATTCGCGCAACAGATGGTCAAGATCCAATTGAGGTGGCATTGTCAACCTTTAAAGGACGCCAAAAAAATGAATCAAATGCATGTCAAATACGAGGAGAGAATAGGTGAGGTCTTAAGTTATGGAATAAGATCCAAATGGGAATAACTAGCGATTCAACACAATTATCTATTAAGGGAGACCATTTAGTTAACTTCATATAACAATTATTGATATAATAAGATCTATGAGCAAACACTATGTTATAGTTCAAATCATTCAACAACTTAATCAAAATATGCGACGAGTTGAACAAAGTTATGGAAAAATCGGCATTAAACTTAAGCAGCAACAACAACAACGTCATTACAAGGGCAAAGCCCCTCTTATGTGGAAGGAACTCCAAAACATGCAGAGAATACATATATTCCACCTTACGGTTTTACACCTGAACTGAACCTTGGAGAAGCAAAGCAGCTTCTGCAAAGTTAAACGACTGTTCTGAAGTGGCCTCGCCAGAACAAATCTTGAGGAGGTAATCCTCCAAGTTCTTGGCTAGGTCGACCTCCCAATTGGACTGTAGATCACATCTCAGTTGTAGGAATTCAAACCACCTGGAAGAGCCGACCCTGGCATCAGTAGGCTCTTTGCTATCGCTCATCTTCTGCGGCAAGAGTCAAAAGAGCCCTTGCCCAGACTTGGGACGAGCGACCATCAAGAAACCTTGTTGATGCCTTCGTGAGCAAGCTCACGTCACGACTTCCTCACTTCTTTTTCGTCTAGGGTTTTGGTTAAGAGCGAAGGATGGAGAAAGATGAAGGTTTCGAACGCAGCGATCCACTGATGCTTTCCGATCAGATCCCATCACGGTTTAGTGGGGAGCTGTCCAATTTAATAATAATCTTATTGCTGCTAAGGCTCTGTTTGGAATAAATTTTTTATCGTTTTTTAAAATAAATTTTAATTAAAAAATTAAAATTTTTTAACTAAAATTTCGCTTTAATAAGAAAAAAAAAAAAGTCCCAAAAGAAGCCTGAGTTTATTGAAGAGTTCTCCTAAGAAATTAAGAAGCAAAAATAATTTACCAAGGTACAATGATCATATAAATCTATAAATATAACCCAAAAGAAAATTTAATAAGTAGAAACATGACATAGAAATACACATAAACGTCCCACATCCAAAGAAATCTGAAATACAACACAAAAAAGTAACAAAAAATTAGAGACAAACATTATTTATCATCCACATATCAACAAATGCAAAAAGGAAAAAAAAATCCAAGCAACGTGAGCTTCACTGTCAGCTATTTCAGCAAACATTTCATAAGCTATAAGCCCCTTGAAGCCCGCAGATAATCATTCAGTTGTTCAATGAACTGGAGAAGTATTATTTCTTGCTTACAAGACGACTAGCATGGAATTTATCACCTGAGCAGAGTCTAAAAAACTCCAAGCAAACAGGAAGAAAGACTTCCCCTGAAAATGGAACATGTAGGGCATTTAAAGCACCATGTAAAAGATTAAAAATAGAACCATTTAACACTCTCAAACCCAAATCTTAATTGACATTTCTTCTATTTCTTTCTTATATAGGATGTTTAAAACTCCAATGCTTGTAAGCACTTACAAAAAAGTGCCATAGTGCATAACTTTTCCCCACTAACAAACCCTGGCCGGAACATCAGGCAAAGCTTATTTTGCAACAACCACAGCTTAAGCATTTAAACAAACACTTAAAACCCAGAAACATCACCAAGATCATGCTTGGATGCTGGGAATTTGAGTGAGAAGGAAATGAAAATGAGTTCAAAAATCTAAATTCAATGCTGATTGAATCATAATCGAGCTTCAATTTGCTTTCCTTCAATTTACTTTCTGTCAAACATAGCCCCAAATCTTCTAGAAAACTATATGAACATATCATGAAGAGGAGGATGAAGATTCAAATGGTGAAATCCTGCGCCTCTTGCCAGAAAAGCAGGCATTTGGCAGGAAATCTGTGCAACTGGCCCGGTCAAGTACAGATTTGAGAGCCTGGTGAATGGATGTTGTGAATAAATGCCTCTCAAGATCATTATTAACTCCTTCACCAGTCATCACAAAGACAAATTTAACTCTGCCACCAAGAGATGAGATCTCAGCACTAATAGTCTTCAGCTGTAGAGACTCAAGAGTATGCTTTAAATCTGCTAGAAGTTCCGGCCGGTCATCGCAGCAGAAGGATGCTTTGACTGAGAAGCTGCTGTTGTTTGCACCCTCACCATCCACCTCAACCCTCAATTCATCAGTGTCAGATGGAATGGTGCAAAATTTGCTAATCTCAATAGCATCGCTCTTTAGATTCTTTATGTGATTAATCACTTCAGCAAGAAGCCCAGCTTTGTCTAACTGAATAATTATAAGGTGTTAGTCTATCCTTGCTTATCATTTTAAAGGACTGAACTAGCAAATTGCTCCTCTGCATTGCACAGAGAAGAAATTTTTATTAAAAGAACACACAAGGAAACAAAGATTACAGGAGGAAAAGTCAGAAAAAATGGTTTTATATCACATCTGGATTTTTGTCAGATAAAATTTAGTTAATTAGACTCAGTGAAATCCTCAAAAAATATAATCAGGAATTCATGCCACGAAGAAGGAAAATGGTGTCTCAATTACCCATAACAGTTTACTCTCCTTTTGGAATAGTTTTTTTTTACTAAATCTGGTTCCTAAAGAGGAGTAACAACATAAATGTTTGACGACTACCGTCACAAAAAAGTTTCATCTTGTAATCAGGTGAGAGGAAACAATATACAATGTAAATTACAAAAAAAGTTTATTCTTTTCAGCTGCAAACAAAAAGAGGACTATAAAATTCATCTAAGTAATAATGAATCCATACAAAATCAATATTGTGACAGTAATTGCATCAATATTAACTAAGAAAAACCAAAAATAAATGACAAAAGCTGATTAAAAAATTGTAGAAATTGCTTTCTGGAGCTAAGACCCTACAACAAAATAGTTAAAAATTGACATAGAGGAACTCAAAAGGAAAAATAAAATCATCAAATATCACCAATTCCATCACATACAGGTTGAAAATTGCTGGATTAGTATTAGGGCATCCAACATAAACCAAAGTAGAAATTCCACTGATGCTCTCAAAATTAATAGCAGTATTTTTTCCCCTAAAAAATAGCCCTTAAGGAAACCTCCATCTCATCACCAACAAAGTTGAATAGTTATCTTCAATCTAAAAGCTCCTCAATTATTACATCTCCAGGAAAAGTAAAAGCAGAAACTTTATCTATGGCTACTGAGTATGAAAAAAAAAAATAAGAATAGAAGATTGACAAAAAGTAAGCCCCAATTAATCCTTCAATTAATTTATCTTCAAAGCATGTCATTTCCGAATGCAGCCACCACAAACAAACAAATAAAGAGTTATAACTCAGTTCATCACACCAGACGAAAACAATAACAAACCTAGATAATGAACCAGCAGAAATCTAAACTTCAGCAAACAAAGATATAAGCAATCCAAGAAAGTCTGATAGTAAGAAGACAAAGGGCCCAACCTTATCAGTGCAGGGAGTCATCCTCCTGAGCGTCATAAGATGACCATTAATCCTCTCCCTCCTCCTCCTCTCAGCCTCGCTATGACTCTTCAAAGCCATAGCTGACCTCAGATCAGCAGCGCCTGCTCCTCCCTTCTTCCCCAACTTCACAGGCGCTCGAACAAGCTCTCCGCTCTCCCCATCTAAAATTAGTGACGCCACAGATGAAGATCCAACACCAAACATACCACCATCCAAAAATCTCCCAAAAGCCCTAAAGTCCCCAAGTGGAACCGAATCCATATCCCCCCAAGACCCCAAAAGGTTAAACAGAAACCACGGAAAAAGAAAAAAAATCACAGTAAAACACAATCTTTAAGATCTCAGGAACCCGGCGGACGGCTGCTAGGGCACAACCAGATAAGCCTCGGGCTACGTAGCTTTCTCACTTCTCCGTCTACAAGCTCGCTATTTGATCCATCTCCACTTCTTCTTCTTCTTCGACAGATCCTTCCCATCACTCGTGGGGGTGTCGGAGGGTTCTGATAAAAAAATCAATGGGAGAATGGTATCATCTTCGCTCTCTTGCTGAATTCAATCATCCCTTTCCTTTATCTTCTGAACTTTAACGGGTAGGGCAATCTCCTTAGAAACCCTAGAATCTATGAAGGTAATTGAAGCTGTTGAAGGAGAAAAGGCGGGAACTTTTCTGGAAGCTCAAGAACTCGGTGAGGAGAGGCTCTCTCCCAGGATATGGAGGTACGTTCAAATGAGGAGGAAGAAAGCCATATATATTTCTCTGTTGAGTGAGGGGAAGCATACTACTTTGGATTTTTAGTATTCAGAAGTAGATAAGATGGGTTGAATCTTTGCATATATGATAATTTAATAAGTTTTGGTGATTATTTATGGCTTCTGAGGAGCTCAATTATCACATGGCAAGTTAGGGATTTAGATTTTTTTTTTTAAAATTCAATAAAACCCTCATCTTCTAAGAAAACTAACTTTATTAGTATTTTAATAAATTAGAGAGTAATATAATCATAAAATAAAAGGATGATATTTGACATGTGATGAGAGAAAAACATCTCAATTTATACCTAATTTATATTTTTTAGATAGAGCCAATTTTTTGAAGGAATATAAATAAATTTTATAAGAAAATAAGAAGGATCAATGAAAACAATGAAAGGTCAAGCAAATAGTTTTCAAATCCTTTAGTTAATTAAAATAAAAAAAGAATGAGACAAACAAACCTTACTAATATAACAATGAAGGACATAATTCATGATATTTAAATAGAGATGTTGGTTCACCAACATGACATAAAAGACTTTGGAGCAATAACTAGAAGGAAATTGTTTGATTGAGGTTCATTACATTAGCATTATATTACTAAATTTATTTTTATTTAAAGTCCTTATTTCCTTGAGCTTCTTTAACAATTTTTTTAATGACTTCCATTTAACTTTATTCCATTATGTAAGGGGATGGACAAATGTTTATAATACTTAAATGAATGTGAATAATGTGACACACCATTTCAATTTTTGTTTCTTTATTTCTTACTCTACTTTGATTTTCTTTAGTTTTCCTTATTTTTTTCCCTAAATCTTATTCCAATTCTCACTCCTCCCATCCTCATGAACTTCGGAAGCCATGGATATGCTCATTGGAACATATCAATTGATGCTCTTATTGCATTTTTTCTTATTGATGAAGATATGACTAACATTACTTATTTGAATGTGAAAATTTTGGATACTTATTAATGTAGAGCATCAAATAGAAAATTATCATGGCCACACTAATAGTGCAAGATCTATGATGCTCCATGTTCGAAATTGAAAACAAGTATATATTTTATCTTTTTAATCATCAACTAGAGCTTACTAATTTAATTCATATAATATAAACAATATAAAACACATATTTGATATAACCCAAAAATTATTATATATATTAGCCATGATATCTAGAAAATTTCAATTATTTACTCAATAATCATGACTACAAAAATAAAGCGAAAAATATAGAGTCTAACCGTGAGATTCTGATCAGCCTAACTCCATTAGATTCCTATCCTAACCTAAATACATGAAAATAATCACAGAATGAACACGTAGCCTAGTAGGTTACCATAACCTATTGCTGAAATTAATACACGATATATAGAAACAACATGCATGAAATCATTCATATACCTCAATTGAGAAAGTTATGTGAACATGAATCATACATCATAGATATGTGATGGATCAATAATTTCGAACTCATTATCAATTATTTTATAAAATAACATGTGTCTTGATCTTGTTAGTATTATAATTGTCTTAATATATGAATAATGTTCATGTATGTATGTCGTAAGAAGTTATATCTTGTTCCACCAAACAAAGTAAATATTTATAAACTCCTGATCATTAACTAGAATTCATGTATCTTGCAGATATCTTGTGGGTATCTTGTTCCAATCTCGAACACTTTTAAGTCCCTTAATATCTTGCTCTAATCTTGTACACTTGTAACTCTCATATCTTATTCCAATTAATTCCTAGCCAATGTACACTTGTTTACATTTACACATTATGGATATTATTTTCATAATTATTGTGATGTAGATGAATGATACAAATAAATGCATTGTCACTACATATATATTTGCATCTAAAAAAAGAAAATCCTCAAATTCCATGCATGTACACTTGCTTACACATACATATTATGGATCTTATTTTCATAATTATTGTGATGTAGATGAATGATACTAATAAATGCATTATCAACACATATATATTTGCGCAACAAAATAAAAAAAAAAATCTTCAAATTCCATGCATGTCATATATATCTATTGAGATGCCTTTCTATTCTTTTATATGTGGCAAATTATCATATCCTTCACATAGAAAATCATATATGTCATTCTAATCAGTGAAATTCTAACATGATCAAATAAAAAGGTTCAAGAAGTCTATATTTTCAACATATAAGAAACTACACTATAAAAGTTGCTTAAATATTGAAATAAGGACATTTTGGCAGAATTGGGAGAACTAAAATCCAAGAATTCAATATTATTGAAAAATGGAAGTGATTCATATTACTTACCATGATAGGTAGACCTTTTTTAGCTATAAGTAAGGTTATAATTGATGTTCAGAAGAGAGAGAGCTAAGCATAAGAGTTCATGATCACAAAGTTACCCTCAATATTCTTAAATCTACGAGGTTTCTTAAAGATGAGCGTGAGGATTATTCTAGAGTGGACTTTATTGATTCTTGAGTAGAGGATGTTATGGAGGATATGGTTGGTAATAGTTAGTTGGATATGTCATTTTGTGAGGATGATCATATCTGAGTTAGGTAGAAGGGGTTCTATTCATTTTATTAGTGATGGTCCTAGGATATTTAGGGAAATATTTAAAGTTAAAGATACATCATCTTTAGGGAAACCTTTCAAACCCTCTATAATTAATGCTCCTAAGCTAGAACTGAAAGCATTGTCTGCTCCTTTATAATATACCTTTTTAGGGAGGTAATCAACTTTATGTGTCATTATCTCTATTGAGCTTGAAAAACATCAAGTAAGCTGATTAATGTTCTTAGCATGTATAAGAGAGCATTTTGATGATCAACTAATGATATTTGGGGGATTAATTTGTCCATTTGTATGCATAAGATCCTATTGGAGGAAACTTGTCGACTTAAAGCTAACCAGCAAAGGAGATTGAATCTAACTATGAAATAAGTAGTTAAAAATACAATTCTAAAATAGTTGCATACGAGTATTACTTAACCTATATTTTTGATAGTGATTAGGTTCAACCTAATTTACTATGTTCCAAAGAAAGGAGGATTAACTGTCTTTTCAAATGAGAAGAATGAACTTATAAAAACTAGGACTATGGCTGGGTGGATGATTTATATTTATTATAAAAAGCTTAATAAAGCCAACAGAAAGGATCATTTCCCATTTTGTTTTATTAATCAAAAGCTAGATAGATTAGCTAGGCATCTTTTCTACTTTCTTATATGGATACATTGGTAAACATCGGATTCCCATTGCACCAAAAGATCAAGATAAAATGACATTCACAAGTACTTATGAAACCTTTATGTTTTGATTTATATACTTTAATTTGTAGAATGCCCTTACAACATTTTAGTGATGCATGATTTTGATCTTTTTGATTTAATAGAGAAAGACATTATAATTTTCATGGATGATTTTTTAGTCTTTAGGAAAACTTTTGATAAGTATTTATCTCACTTAGAGTTAGTCTTAAAGCATTGCTATGAAACCAATCTTGTGTTTAATTGGGAGAAATGCTAGGTTATGTTAAAGGTAGGACTTATCCTCGACAAAAAATCTCGAAGAAGGTATGGAGGTCAATAATGTGATGATCCGAGTAATTATGAATATGCCACCTCCAACTCCTATTAAGGGAGTCCATAGCTTTTTAAGTCATGCTGGATTTTATGGGCATTTCAATAAAGATTTATCCAAAATAACTAAACCGCTTTATAATTTTTAGAAAAAAGATAAGTTTTTTTATTTCAATTTTCATTACTTAGCTGTATTTAAGAAGCTCAAAAAGTGTTTAGTTATTGCACATATTATTTTTTCTTCTCAATGGTCTCTTAATTTTGAATTGATGTGTGATGCTAGTGACTATGCCATTAGAGTTATTTTAGGGCAAAGGCTTGATGAAAAACTTCATTCCATTTATTACACTAGTAGAACTCAAAATGTACCTGATTTAACTATACATCTATCGAAAAAGAGATGCTAGCGATAGTCGTTAACTTAGATAAATTTAGATCTTAATTAATTTGCATCAAATTAACTATTTTTACTGATCATTATATCATCAGAGTGTATCTTTATGGAGTTATGATACCATGGATAATAAAATCACCTAAATTTTTAAGGTTAAAGGTCAAAGATTGAATCCCTATTCAGGAGGAGTTATTGATCACCATAGAAGTTCAATAGAGTTGCTCATCTTGGATTGAATAGTGGCATGGTTTGGTTGAAGACTATAGATTTAGCATTGCTTTGAAGGCAACTCAAGGTATCATTATTAATTTCTAATTAAGATATTATGCATGAATCTTATTTTGTTATGGTTAGAAGCCTAATTGGTAGGTTTGATTTGTTTTTTTATATATATTATTTGTGTAAGCCTTTATTTTTGGAGTTCAATTTAAATATTTGTCCCAACACAACAGTTCTATACCTTGAAGGATCATAATGCCTTATCAATAATAATAAAAAAAAATACTTAAGGCTGATCATGTTGCAACACCAAAGGAATACAACATTTTAATGTCACTTGGCCTATTAGAACACTACATCACCAGCCATGCACTGCCACAACATTGAGATTTCCTGTCATTTTGATCCTATTGAGTTTCACAATATCAAATCCAATCCCACAACATTCAATCAAATCATTAATAGGGTTGATGAAGCATAATGGTGGAGGTCACTTTGAGTACCACATCTATTCACTTGTAGAGCATCAAGGTGGTGACACAATCAAAAAATTTGTAAATTCTATTTCTAATGTGAATTCCATAACACAACCTATAAAATCACTTAATAAGTAGTTAAGCAAAATTTTGGCTAGATCTCATTATGAAAATGGAAATAATCTCGGTATAATGGTGTCAATGAATGCTCCATTATACTTGAAAGTGATAAATTTCCACAAAATTTCTAATGTGATAGTTCATATTTTTAAAAGCCATGCCTATAAACTATGAATTTTTTATTATTTGAGGAGTGATTTTCTTAATCTCAAATATATTTTCGGTATCTTATTCTTAATGGTAGTTGATAGTTGATAAGGCATAGTCTCT